AACATCCGGTAGATCTCTTCATCCCAGGTCAGCCTGCTCACGACAGAGAGCCAGTCTGGTCCCTCCGAGTTGGTGCCCTTGTAGGTCGTTACATTGTGGCCTTCCCGTTCCCAGCACTCGAGCTCGCCTTTGAAATCGAACTCGGAATCGACGCCCTCCTCATTGTCCAGCTCCTTCCTCCACTTCGGCTGTGGTTGCTTGCCTACCATCCGTCGCTTGATCACGTACGCCGTCTCCTTGTACTTCACCTCCTTGTCACCTCCGGCCCACGCGCACCAGGTCGACCACTCCTCGCACTTCATGATGGACTTAGCCCACTTTCTGCACATCGCCGACGGATATGCTGCCGTGAACTCTGCCACCTTGCCCTGGATCTCCTCATGGTAGTGGTTTTGCGGACTGCCCTTCCTGTTCGAGCAGGTCCTCCCGATGGTCTGGCTCAGGTGAACGTCTGAGGTTGCGATTAGCCGCTCCTTCTTGATCAGCTCATTTGTCTTAGGATAACGCAAACCGTAAGCACACCCGTCTACTCGAACTGTGAACAGCTGCTCCCTGAGCTTCCTGAAAAAAAAGGGCAACGACCACGTTCCACATCTTAGGGGCTGTTCGAAGTCGATCTCCGCACCTTGATGTAGAGCTTGGTGTGCCAGAATTACACAGGCCTTCGTCACCTTGTCGTTCTTGCGCCGCTTAGCCTCTAGCTTCTCGCGCTGTTCTGGCGTGTTCTGGTTGGCGTTCTGGATGATGGATCTGGCAGTGCACGGTGGTGAGAACGCCACTCTGCGAGGCGCCTCTTCTCTAAGCGTCTCCGAAGCTCTGCGGTGGCCCGTGTTGGTCGTCAGGTCGTGCATGTTATGCTTGCCCAGCCTCATCACCTTGCCACCTAGCTTCTCCACCTCCACGCCAAGTTTGGAATCGGGCGGCGCACACACCTCCATCAAATCCAGTCGTCCTTCCCGAAGTAGATCACGAGCCCCCCTTGCGGCCATCTCTTCGAAAGTCTTTATGCCGGCCCTGAGCACGTGCACCTGCCTGTCACTGAGGTCCTTCAGGGTCTCTTTGCCAGATGAACTACCGCCCTCAGAACCCTCTTTTGCAGGTTCCGGTCCTCGGCCTCCAACTTGAGAATGAACATGCGCTTCCAGTTCTCTAGACTGTACATCGCCTCCAGCATGTCCCAGGAGTCCTCCTGCACTGGTATCTCCTCCGCCTTGCGGTTCTCTGACTTCGCTCTCTCCAGGTGCTCGTAGAGGGTCTCCTTCGCGGGATCCCACAATGGAAACTGGATGTTGTAGTTCATGACTGTCTCCAGGCCGATCTCTTCCGAGGTGACCTGCGGTTGGTCGTCCTCCTTCTTCGGTGGTGTCGTCCTGGCTGTCGGTGCTGTCTTCGGTGTCGGTGGCACGAAGGTCCCCCTCGACGGCGAAGGTGAGCTCGAACTTGTCGTCGCCCTCCTCGGTGCTGTCGGTCTCCGGGTCGCTTCCTGCTTCTCCTCCTTGGGATGCGCCGTAGACTGTGGCCCAGAACTCTGCCTCACATCGTAGGTCTTTAGGCATATGTGACTCTTGCCCCCGACACAGCTGCACCCTGCTCTGCGTTTCCCAGGCGTTCCGCAGCACTCGCACCTGATGTTGTACTGCTGCTTCGCACCTTTGAACTCCTGATCTGCTTCTTCCTTTTTGGTCAGCGGCTTGGTGAGTGGTGGTTGTCCGAGCGGTAGTCGACCTTGGCACTGATGACTCCTGCCTCCCGTACAGCTGCAGCCTGCTGCCGTCGTTCCCGGAACTCCGCAACAGCCGCACCTCGTGCTCGTCAATCTCGCTGGGGATTCGAAGACTGCTGACCGCTGAGACCAACCAAACGAACTTGGCCCAGCGCATGCTGACTGCATCAGATATGGAAGGATCTTGGTCGTGAAAACTCTGAGAAACTTCACCTCTGTGAGCCCAAGTGTCAACTGAAGCGGAAACCTTGAACGACTCATGCGTGACAACCTCTCGCCACTCGGCATCAGGGCCAAAATCGATCAGAAGATGTCCACAACGAGAGCGTTCTGAAATATACACCTTGTCACTCATAGTCCTGAAACATATCGTGCCCTGCTCGAAATCTACAGCGACCCCGAAATGGTTCAGGAAATCCATCCCTACCAGAAGCGGGGCCTCGACATCCACGACCGAAACTGGAAAATCACACTCTTGGGCATCGACATATCTGGGTAAAGACGCGTGATTCAGGGATTTTGCCTTCTGGTTGTTCCCGAAGGTGAACTCTATCAGGGGCCCCGGCAGAACTTTCATACGGTCGTGGCCAATCAATCGCATCATCGAGATCTGCCAGGTTTCGGCTTGCTCTAACCCGATCATAGACGAAGTCGCCCCTGAATCCAAGATGTCCTTAAAGGTGCCCGAGAGCTGACGCCGGGAAGACGTGTTGTTCGTAAACTATAAGAACATGTCGAAACTCTCTTCTGTTAAACCTTGGTCTCCAGCTTTCCGATCCCGAAAGTGAGCCCGTCGGTGGTTTCGGTAACCTGAGGACTCTGGATGCAGTCTGGGAACTCAGAGGCCTCTTGAATCCAGAGCGAGTCGTGCCCCGAGATCGCCACGAGCGCTTTCGAATTACCCTCGGTCTGATTAGGGTCGAAGTCGGTCACATCTGGGTCGATGTCGGTCGCATCTTGGTCGAAGTCGGTCGCATCTTTGTCGAAGTAGATCGCATCTGTGTCGATGTCGACCGCATCTGTGTCGATGTCGATCGCATCTGTGTCGATGTCGATCGCATCTGTGTCGATGTCGGTCGCGCTCGGATGACAGATGACGATGGATGCTTGCACTTGCGCCCGCTCTGTAGCTTGGCGGGAGCCCTGCAGTCCTTAGCGATGTGGCCCTTGCCGCCGCACCGCAGGCACGCGGTGTTCGGGGTCCTCCAGTCCTTCCCTGTGGAGCCCTGGCTCGGCGAGCCACGCGACGTCGATGGGGTGCGGCCGGCGCCCTTGGTGCCCTTAGGTCCTTGCGAACCCTTGGCGTTCGGGCTGAAGAACTTCCTGCCCGTCTTCTTCTGTCGAAGCAGTTCTCGTGCCTGCTTGAAGGAGCGCTGCCCGTGTTGAGCAGCCGCAAGCACAGCACCTTCTAGGAGTTCGTCTCGTAGCTCCTTGTCGTCTCCGGCCTGCTCGTAGATATCCAGCAGCTGGTAGTTCACGTCCTCGTCCTCAGCCAGGGCGAAGGCGGTGGCGTCGTCCTCGAGGTCGAGCTGCTGGACAGGCTCTTCGTCATCTTCGTGTCCGTCATCCTCCGCATAGTAGTCGTCGTCGGCCTCGGCAGCGTAGTTCTTCCGGCCTGGCCACTGGGGTCTATGGCCTTTGTGGTGATGACCTTCTCGATCGTGTTTCTTGTCGAACTGCATGCCGAGGGCCTGCTGGATCCTTTGGTACTCGTACCGGTTCTGCACAGACGCCAGCACCTGGGATCTCTCGTGGTCGTCTAGGCCCGCGTTCTCCAACAGGAACCAAGCTCTCAGCGGCTCTGGAAAGATCGGCTTCTTCTCGTCGAAACTCCTGTCAATGGCCTTGATGGCCTTCTGCGTCCGATCTTCCTCAACCTCAAACTGTGTCAAGTAGTCGCGCATCGGGGTCCTGTCCTTGCGGAGCGTCTTTTTCATGAACGTCCGCATGTACTTCCCTGCGTCCTCGACCTCCAGGATGCCGCTCTTCTCCTTGAGATACTGCAGCAGCTGGCTGACACCCTTCGGAAGCCTTGTGCTCGGGTCCTCTTCTATGTCGTCGAGGCTCTCGAGCTTGTCGTACTTCTGTACTCCCTGCCAGGCTCTTCCTCCGAGTCGAGCCATCAGTCTGGGCCCGCACAGGCCCTTCTCGTCCTTCTTGGTCCCTCGCACGTAGAGCTTGACCCTCATCACGTAGGAGGCGAAGCTGGCCACATCTCCGTCCCAGGATGGAACTGTCTCGTGCTTCTGGTCTTCGGTCGTCATGACGAACCAGTCCGTGGAGCCAGACCGGCTCCGCTACCAACTAAATTGTAGGCGCTGGCGGTAGCCTCCTCAATGTACTCCGGATAGCTGTCGTCAATCCCAGTGAACACGGATGATTATCGTGATAATCCACCTTTCTGCCCAGCGCAGCGCCAACAGTCACGATACTGAATCAATCTCGTGTGTGAGCCCCTGGTGGGCTCTTATAACGTGGTGCTCTGGAAGCACCGATGTACAAGCGTACGCGCCGGTAGCTATGCACCGGCCCAAGGGCGCCCTGAACCAAACAGCGATGGAATCGGCTCGTTCGCTCGTTCGGGCTCCCGGGTCTCGATCGGTCGGCCAAGACTCGCACAAATTTACACCTCCCTCCCTCCTCTCGCTCCTCCTCTCGCTCCTCGCTCGTGATCTCCCTCTCCGGACTCCTCTCCTCATGCTCCTCCTCCTCTTCCTCCTCCTGTTCCTCCCCCTCTCTCCCTCGTCCTCCTCCCCCTCCGCCCTGTCCTGCGCCGCCTGCTCCTGGAGGCGTCCTCCTCCTCATCCTCCTCCCCGTGCCCCCGCGTCCAACCCCCCCCTCGCCCTGCAGCGCCGCGCCTCCTCACCCTGCTTCTGCTCCTGCTGCTGCTCCTCCAGGCAAGCCGTATACAGTCGGGGCGTTGACCTAAGGAACCCTAAATAAGGAACGAGGCCCCTTTTTTCCATAAGTGAACCTTCGATTTCCTGTCGCAAACACAAGGAAGGCCTGAGGCAAGCTGTGAAACACTTAAGGAACGCGGAGCCCCTCCCCAACGAAAAGGGTTCCTTCTTCAGGGCCCCGACTGTATGAGCCCTACCCCTTCGTGTCACATTTCTGGAAAGCCGGCTGGAGCTCAGAACTTGAGGGATGCCTCCGGCCAGGTGGACCCCAGCAGGGGTGCCCGATACCCACGCGTCGATTGGACCTGTATAGGGGTAGGGCTCGCAACTGGTCGCAGCTCCTCCTCGCTCCTACTCCGCTCCCTCATCCCGGCGGCCGTGACGTTGTGTCCGCCGCGCGCCAGCGCCGACAGCGGCAGGCTGAAGACGTCCGACACGCGGTACGAGCCGTCCGCGCCGCCATGGCCGTCGCCGAGGTCGCGCGGCAGCGGCCGGAACTTGCACGCGCGGCGGACGAAGTCCTCCAGAGCTGCGGGCCGCGGAGTGGCGGCCCCAAGAGGCTCCGAAGCCCTCACGGGGACGGAAACTCAGGGTCGATCGCGATCGGCTGGGATGGTGGTAACCACTCAGGTGTTTTCGCTTTCGTGCATGGCGCAATGCGCAACAACAACTTGCTTCTTGCCGTAACCGTCAGGCCCGAACCGCTCAAGGAGCAGGGGTGGTGAGCGGGGTCCCTGAGCTACCGCCAGGCCATCAGAAGAAGGTGCTGTTGACTCCATCTCCTCCCATGCACCTCTATCGTTCTGAGCGGATCATTTGAGCCACACAAGTGGGCACATCGCAAGGATGTCTCGAGCGGGGGCCTCGTCTGTGAGCGAATAGCAAGGGCGTCTCAAGCGAAGCCCCATTCCCAATGGGGCCCACAGACCAAGTTAGTAATCCGGGCGTGCCATTGGCCTACTCTGGTAGGCAGAACACTTGAGCGCCCCAACGGGGCACACCTTAAGGATGCGTCGAGCGGGGGCCTCGTCTGTGAGTGATTCGCGATCAAGACTCGGACAGGAGCCCCGTCCAGATGGGGTATGCAAATTATGATCATCCGAGCGGGTCATTCGCGTATTGTAGCAGTCATCGCACTTGAGCACCTCAAGGGAACAACTCGCGAGGATGCTCCAAGCGGGGGCCTCGTGTGTGAATGAATTGCAACAATGTTTCAGGCGTGGGCCCCTCTCCATGGAACCAGCAGATCATGTTAGCAATCCGAGCGTGTCATTGGTCTATTGTAGCAGGCACAGCACTTGATCACCCAAAGGGAGCAAATCGTGAGGATGCCTCAAGCGGGGGCCTCGTCTGTGAGCGAATCACGACGAAATCTCAGGCGGGGACCTTTTGTCAATGGGGCCCGCAGATCACGCTAGTAATCAGAGCGGGTCATTGGCCTGTTGCAGCAGGCTAGCACCTGAGCACCGCAAGGGGATAAACCGTGAGGATGTCTCGAGCGGGGCCTCGTCTGTGAGTGAAACGCGAGGAAGTCTCAGGCGGGAGCCCCTTCACTAAGGGGGCCCGCAAGCGCAACGACCCCCACGTGTCGCGCAACTCCCGCGGGCTCCACAAGTCTCAAAGGTCCCACACGGCGCATCTTGGTATCCTCGCATCTTGGCAGCATCACCATCGTTAGCTGCCGGTGAAGGTGATTCTGGTTCACACTACGGAGCCTATCATGCGGGGCCCGTCGGAGTAATTCCTGGCCTTCGCTGTCTCCATATTCTAGCATGCTGTAGCAATGCACCCTATCTCTATTCCAAAGTAGTGCTTTTGCTCCTTGCTCCCAGGCCGCGATTCTGTACTGACTGCTAAGCGCTGGGTTTATCCTGTTCCCGTATTCCTAAGTCGCGCGCCTATACAGCTTCCCTCAAACATCGACTCTGCACCTCTGCACTGTCTCTGCATTCTTAAGCCGAGATTCAACATTGCCTCCTGAATCCTGATTCGTTATCCTGTGCTGCGTCTTTCTTCCAAGGTTGCGATTCTATACTGCCGCCAGATGCCGAAGTCATGGTTCTATACTGCCCCCTTAATCCCAAGTCGCGATTGCAACACATGTCCCCACTCCGAACTCGGAACTCTGTTCTGCTGCCTCATGATTCAATCAAACTTATGTGCTGTTTCCTTACTCCTAAGTCGCGACTTCGTACTGTTGCATCAAAACAAAGTCGCGGTTCCTATAATCTCTCCTTCTTCCAGATTCGCTGCCCTATATTGTTTCACGATCATGTCCGCCAGCACCCTTATGAGTAAGCGAACATATCGATGCACACACAAATTAGTATGTTCCTCAACAAGTTTTGAAGGTTCACTTCCCTTCTAAGGAACTGGGCCTACTAGTTGGTCTGACGGCTATGTTGTCGCTGTCGCCGCCCCGTCGCCGCTTCGTCGCCGCCCGTCGTCTGGGCACGATTGCCTGTCTGACGGCTACGATTGTCGCCGTCGCCGCCTAAATTGCACAACGTAGATGGCACTGCACATGTTGCATGACATATATTGCAACACGTAGATTGCACAGCACAGATTGCACAACATGGATTGACCAACTTGTATTGCACAACATAGGTTGCACCAACCGGTTGCGGCGCATATTCTGCACGGCAGAAATCGCGCACCACAACTATTGCACCACATTGATTGCACAACGTGTATAACATTACCCATATTGCACCACGTTGGTTGCATCGCATAAGCTGCGCACAATATATATTGCACTAGATGCTGTACAACATATACTGCACCACATCGATCATACAACACATGCTGCGCAACACATGTTGCGCTGCTTACTTATTCCTAAGCCGCGACTCTGCACTGCCTCGTTAGTCCTAAATGGCGGGCCTATGCTGCCTTGACAATCCAAAGTCGCCATTATACGGTGTGCCATTGCTCTTGAGCTATGATTCTCGGATGCTTCCTGATCCCTAAATCCCGATTGTACACTGTCTGTCTCCTATTTCTAAACCGCGGTTACATGCTGACTACTTCTTCTTCAATCGCGATTGATACTGGCGACTAAGTCGCGGTTCTATGCTCTATCCATATTCGTAGGTCGCGGTCTCGCGCCGCTGCCTCATTTCTGAATCGCGAACGTGCACTGCCTCCCTATCTCAAGTCAAGATGTCATGCTGTCTCCTTACTGCCAATTCGCGGTTCTGTAGTCTCCTCATTCATGAGTCGCGATTCCATATCGTGTTTGCCTTAGTCGCGACCCGATCCTGCCTCCGCTACCCTGAACCACGACTCTATCATGGCTCCTTACTCTCAGATGGCGCTTCTGGACTGTCTCTGTGCTCCTGAGCCGCGAATTCTATGCTGTTGTCTCATTCCTACGCTTCTATCATGCTTCCAAATTGTTTGAGCGCGCTTCTCGTATGCGTCTTCATTGCCATGCCGCAACTCTTGCCCGCGTTCAGAAGTAGCGCTTGGCCCTTCTGGCTCCAAGATCGGGGTCCAGTACTGCTCCCTGATTCCCATGTTGCGACTATATAGTGTCTCCTTGTTCCCAAGTCGTGGGTCCCAAGCAGAGCACTGTCCATTCCGAAGGGTGTACCAACATTCCCCTCCACCCTCCTCTTCTTCCTCCTCCTCCTCCTCCTCCTCCTCCTCCCCCTCCTCCTCCTCCTCCGCCTCCTCCTCCTCTTCCTCCTCCTCCTCCTCCTCGTCCGCATCCCTTCGGGGCTCTTCCTCCTTCGAGCCCTCCCCTCCCCCCCGCCTCCCCTCTCCCTCCCTGCCCCTCTGCAGATCCCGTGGAGCCCGGGAGGGGTTCTGGGCATGCGGGTGGAGTCGCTGTCTTCGACTCAGTGGCTGGGGTCGTTGTCGTTGCGATTGTATGGGGATCCGACTGTATCGTGTCCCCCTTCTCCGCCGCTTCGGCGGCCCACCCTGCCCCGGCCTTCCACAGGCCAGGGGTGCCCGGGGGACGCAGCTGCGGGAAGCACTTTCGGCTGGGAGCGGATCCAGCTAGCACAAGGGGGCTTCTCTGGGAGACACGGGGCTGTGTTGCATCTTCGCGGGGCCTCGTCTGCCCCGTCGCGCCGCGATCCACGTCGAACCCGTGCCGAATCCGTGCCCAGCGCGTCGACTCCGTGTCGAGTCCGTCTCGAAGCCGTGTCGAGTCCGCGTCGGAGCACGAGAGAAGACTGCCATCTCCAGGACAAGAAAGGCCCCCCGAAGATGCAACGTAAAAATGGGGGGATGCCAAGAGGAGGAGGAGGAGGAGGAGGAGGAGGAGGAGGAGGAGGAGGAGGAGGAGGAGGAGGAGGAGGAGGAGTGATGCCAAGCTTCAGCGATCCCCTCGCTGCCTGGCTCAGTCGGGCCTGCCGCAGGGCGGATGGGGGCGGGGGCAGTCGGTGGAGCAGCAGGCGGTCCCCAGAGAGTCTCCTGAGGAGGAGGCGGAGGAGGAGGAGGGGGAGGGGGAGGGGGAGGAGGAGGGGGAGGAGGAGGAGGAGGGAGGAGGAGGAGGAGGGGGAGGGGGAGGGCGGCGGGGGGAGAGGAGGAGGAGGCGGAGGAGGAGGAGGAGGCGGAGGAGGCGGAGGCGGAGGAGGAGGCGGAGGCGGAGGAGGAGGGGGAGGGGGAGGGCGACAAGCTAGGTGCGCTCACGTCCTATCTGTCGTCATACCCCTCCCTCCCAAACATTCACATGGCGTAGATCTCCTCTTTATGCGCGCAAGCTGATGTCGAGCAAGGCAATGATCCCGATAGGGTTTGCGATGCATGGTAAAGCACGGCATAGCATGGTGTAGAAGAGCGCCGCAGAGCAGAGCATGGCTTGGCATTGCGTAGTGTAGCATTGCATCACAGAGCGTAACATCGCAAAACATGGCATCGCACAGCGGAGCACAACGCAACATCGCATTGCATGCCATGGCACGGCACCGGATGCCTTGGAGGGTAAATGGCCCGTGTACGAAAGGAGAAAGCCTGTCCGTAATCCGGGCTCCATGTCCTGCGCAACCGTGCCTGCCCGATGTGGGCGCTTTCGAATGCCAGGTGCCATCTGGTAGGGGTACTGTAATAGCGTAAGGCCGCCCCCCCTTCCTTTCGACGCGCTGCCTTGCGTTTCCCGAGCCCCCTTCCAAGTCTCCCTGGGCTCCCTGGACAGCTCTGCACGAGACGTGGTGGATGGCCCGAAGACTTGCGGAAGCTCCAGGGAACGCACAGAAATTGCTGACAGCGACAACGACACAGACAACGACGGCGGCGGTGGCGGGGGAAGCTGCGGCGGGCGAGGACGGATGTCAGGGAATAGTGCGGCGGGCTGCCAGGCTCGATGGTCTGGCTTCCTTGATCAATCGGCTCACGCTGGGCCCCTGGACCCCTCACGGGGTCAAGTCGGATTGGCGTTTTCCAGCCGGGTCGTCTTGTAAGGTCCCCAGGGGAGGTTTGAATATACACCGAATGTGTAATCAGCTCCGATGGTTTTTCGGGGGGGCAATTTGTAAGATTTGGAGGCCTATTTGGAAGGACCGAAGCCATGCCATGGCATGGCGCTGGAAATAATGAAGCCACCGCTGCAGCGGGAGCACGATTCGGAACGAACGGAAGCGCGGAAATGAGGCCAGCGCTGCAGCGGGAACGCGACTCGGAGGACGCGTAGCCTGACATGGCATGGCGTGGCGAAGCCCCGAAGTGGGGGGGGCTTCTGCGGCCCTCGAAATCAACGAATCGACACCGAATGTGGAATCATTTCCTATGGTTTTTCGGGGCAATGTTCTAGATCTTGGGGCCCAGTTGGAAGGACCGAAAGCCATGCCGTGTCATGGCGTTGGAAACAATGACGCCAGCGCTGCAGCGGGAGCACGCTTGGGACCGAGCGGTGGCCCGAAAATGAGGCCAGCGCTTCAGCGAGAGCAACACTTTAAAAAACCCAACGAAAACCCAACTCCCGGGAATCCTGTGTAAAAAACCAATACGCGGAAGGGGGCCGGACATTTCCCGGACGTCACCAGGGGAGAGAGGAGAGTCGTATTCATATTGAGTAATTGTAAAGGAGGAGGAGGAGGGGGAGGAGGAGGAGGAGGAGGAGGAGGAGGAGGAGGAAGAGGAGGAGGAGGAGGAGGAGGAGGAGATGCCTGCAAGCACTGGCAGGAGATGAGCCTGGGGCGAATCCATTTGGAGCTCCTTCCTTTTGCATCCGCGTGCGGCCCGCCGGGCACCTCCTTGGTGTTTGGGTGGCCCCCCTGCTCCGCCTGTCCCGGGGGCGGCCAAGAAGGGGGGCGTCCAACCGACGAGGGCTCTCCTCCCGGCAGCCCTCTGGCTGCTGTCCTCAGAGCGCCCACTCACCGTCCACAGTGGCCGCCATCCATCCTACCCTTCGGTCGGGCATGTCCCTCTGCAGGAGGAATATTCAAAAATAGTAGAAAAATAATATGGGGGGGCGACTTTTTGACATTTTCTTGCGTATTTTTGAATATTTTTGGAATCTGTTTCATTTTTCGTCAAAAATCCGCATGCAAGGGGACATGCCCGACCTAATCCTACCCCGCCCTTCCCCTCATCCCCTCTGCCAATCTCCCCATGTTCCTCCCTCCTCCTCTCCCCGTTCCCTCCGGAAAATTCAACAGACGACTCTCGTGCGGAACGCCTGGAGACAAACGACGCAATCCATTGCCGCGTGCAGATTGAAAGTGCGGCTAAATGACATGTTGTGGCACATGAGCCGACCGACAGCGGAGAACACCACTGGGATCACGAACAGCGATAAGCGGACCTTCCCGCTCAACGCGTGAGGCTCATTCTAGCGCCTCCCCTTCCTCCTTCTCCACATCCTCCTTTCCTTCCTTCGGCGGCGAGCGAGGGGGAGAAGGGAGAGGGAGAAGGCCTTCTCAGAAGGCGGCGGGTCTTCTCAGAAGCCCTCGCGCCTCCTGAGCGGTCTTCTGCGTATCTTCGGGGAAGGCTCAGAGCACTTCTCTCAGAAGGCCTGGGGACTTCCGAGCCTTGTGAGAATGCCCACCCCTTCTCATTTCCCCCCCTCGCTCGCCGCCGAGTGTGGTTTTTGGGCCATAACTCGGGTTTCTGGCAGGCGTTCGAGACGATTTGGGCACCCCCAGAACGCCCTCGGCGTGGCGCAGCTGCTGGCAAGCATCCCGAGGCTGGACAACTGCCGAGAACCGACGAAAACGCGCAAAAACCTCGAACCTCGAGCCTGTATCTTTCCCTTCTCACTTCTCCGATTCCTACCCCTCCCCTCCTCCAGGTCATTCTTCCTCGTCTGCCCGCCCGGCGTCCTCTGCGGCCGACGCGCCGTCGTCTGGCACGGTGGCGCCGCCTCCGGCAGCGGCCCAAACCTCGGGCGCTGCCCCCCCCACCCCGCGTCGAGGGGGAGGGGGAGGAGGAGCGGGAGGGGGAGGGGGAGGGGGAGGGGATGGGGAGGGGGAGGGGAGGGGGAGGAGGAGGAGGAGGAGGAGGAGGAGGAGGAGGAGGAGGAGGAGGAGGAGGAGGAGGAGGAGGAGGAGGAGGAGAAGGAGGCGGACCAATGTAAACCCAAGAGCCATCAACGATGTTGGAATACACCCTCCCTCCAAGCTCCCTCTTCATAGGCCCCTACAACGGCTCATTTCCATTGAGGGATCTGCCTCGTTGGAAGACAACCGTTTGAAGACCCGGAAGCATGCCAAAACATTGTTCTCGGGATTCCAACGCCACGGATCAACCTGACTGTTGCGTCTTGACGATCCTGGAACGTGCCAGAACGTCTTCCTTTGGATTTCAACACCGCGACGTAACGAAACTGTTACACCCGCAAGAACCTGAATCCTTCCAAAACACCGTTTCTGGTACGTTGATCGTGGGAGCCCGCGAAACTCTGGCAACATTTGTGAACGAATGTGCGCGGCGCTTGGGTGAGAGCCACATTTTGAAAAGAAGCCGCCCTTAATCCATGAAACTGTTGCAAATTTTTAAGAACTAATGTGCGTGGCGCTAGAGCGAGATCCACATGTTGACGGGTGATCCTCAATCCGTGAAGCTCTAATAACTGTTGTTAAACGAATGTGCGCGGCGCTGAGGCGATATCCACATTTTGAAGACGGGTGATCCTCAATCCGTGAAACTCTTGCAAAGTTTTACAACGAATGTGCGCGGCGCGAAAGCGAGAGCCACATTTTGAAAACCACCCGCCCTCCATCTGTGAAACTGTTGCCAACCTTGAGGTTTCAGAACCATTTTATCGGTGAGGAAGTCTCAGGCGAAACGCCCGGCCAGCCCCTAAACACTGGCCTCGGGGTGCGACAGGGAGAAAGTTTTTTTCCATCAGGAGAAGGAATGGAGGAGGATCAGGAGGAGGAGAAGGAGGAGGAGGAGGAGGGGGAGGGGGGCAGAGCGAGAGCGCTGGAGCAGCAGCAGCAGCAGCGTATGTACTTGGCCCGAGACGCTCGAGGGGGGGCCACGAGCGATGTCGATCTGCAGTCTGCATCATGGACACCGTGTCACGTATGTTTCAGTGGCAACTCATGGGAGCCTCACATACCACACCATCTTGTCGGCTCTTGCGAATCGCGAATAGACGCTGATCGAGGCTAGATCGACGCTAAACGGAGCTACATCGATGCTCATCGACGCTAAATCGACGCTAATCGATGCTAGCCGACGCTGAATCGGCGCTGCCTCATCGACACCAAGACGCTAATCGATGCAAATCGGTGCTAATCGATGCTAAATTCGGAATTACGACGGTACACAAGACTCCCATGACTTGCTGCCACCATTTATATATATATATATATATGTATGTGTGTGTACGCTTGATGTTCATGTATGTCATCCTTGACGTTTGATGCTTCTGGCCATGCTCAGGACACTGGGGACCACGGGGTCTCTGAAGAACCTCCATTCCATCATGGCCGCCCTGAGAACGACGTATTCGGATCATTGGGGTGCACGCCAGTCGGAAGAAGGTAGAAACATTAAGTAGGAAGGCGTTGAAAATAGATTGCGTGTCCGCCCGTCCCCTAAAGAGGACGGAAAAGGTGAAGCCACTCGATTCTTGAAGTAGGAAGGCGCTTGAAGTAGACTGTGTCCTGGGACTCCAAAAACACCTACTTCCAACGACCGATGGGTACGCGATGGCTCGCCACCGCTGTTTTCCCACAAACACACAGAACATGCAGCCGCATGCTTGACAGGCCGCCTCCAACAACCACGGCAGGTTCCCGTCGTGTCGACCCCAGCGTTGGTTCCTGACACCGCGGGGATCGTTCAACGTTGAACGATCTGCCCTTCCAAAAAGGCCTGGTCGCTCACTGGCCATCGCTCGGACGTCCATTCCCTATGATTTTTTCGGTGTCGTGCGTGTTTTTTTCGCCAAATGATCAAGGATGCTCCTCGATGGTCCTCGCCGAAGGAAAAATGCACACGTCTGAGCGATGCCAAGCTCAAGGATGGGCCGAGTCTGGGCCACGAGCGGCGGCCAACTCAAAACACGCCCGCGCTGTGGTCGCCGCCGGTCGACACGACGCGAACCTGCCGCGCCTGATGAACATCGGATCAGGCGCCAAGTGCGGTATGTTCCCCCTTCGAACCTGTGATCCTGTAGGCATGCAGGGCCAGATAGAGATGGTCTGTGAGCTAACGTTCTGAATGCGGCGCCTCCTACTGGCCAGTGGACGAGACTACCGTCTGGTTCGCACACAGCGTCGAAACAGAAACTTATTCGATTAAGGAACGTAGCATGCGAAGTAGCAAAAACAGGTCATTGCCTAGCATGATGCCGCAAACCGCAAATGAGAACACTACAGGAACGCAGCAATCCAGATCATCACATGAACGTGCTATACAACATGCATAGCGTAATACATCGTAGCACGAGAAACCGTCGCACTGATTGCGAGGATCTGGCCAGCTAGCAGCAGACAGAACGCTCCTGTTCACTGTGGTGGCACCTCTGCAGGTCAGACCGTGTTGAACTGATCTAGAATGAAGATTCGACTGCTAGATACCAGCATGTCAACTGCTCAGTGGGGAAGGTGTCGGAAGGTGGAGGGGTGCTCCGCGGGCTCCGCCCCAGATGACTTAGGGGCTCCGCAGAATCTCCTTGCGCACACTCCTGAGACGCGTGGGCATGCGATGGATCTGCGCTCTCAGGTCCATGGGCCCACATCTGAAACGACGGATCCGCGCTCTTAGGGCCACGAGCCCTCGCAAACAGCACGACTGCTGGGGCTCCAAGGGCTCAGGACTGGCTCAAGACGGTCGGTCCAATGGACTCGAGGACGACTCTTTGGTCCTCCAGAACGGCCCCCGGCCCCAGGAAGGCCAGCGTAGCGCCAAGAGAGCACCGAGGGAGCACCCTCCAAGGGGACGCTGGCAGAGCACCGAGGGAGCCACAAGAAGTTCTGAGTTCGCCTCTGGCATGGCACGAGGGAGCCCCTACATGGCTTCAAGACAGCCCCGGGATGGCTCCTGCGAGAGGGCACCCGGGGCCCGCGAGGCCTCCAGGCACCCCCAAGAAGCACAGCACGGCCCAACGGCGGGCCCCGAACGCCCCAGCTGGCCTCCACGCCTGCCCCAAGTAGCAGGACACGGCATAGCAAGCCCGCACGGAGGCACCCACGATTGGGGGTGGCTTCATGGGGGGTCCTAAACGGGGGGGTCAGAAGAGGTCCCCTTTCGTGCCCCTTTCGGGCCCCTCCAGAGCCCCAGGGGGCTCGTTTGGGTACCGTTTGGGTACCCTTTCGAACCACCCTCGCCACCCCCCCATTTATGATCCCCCCATTACGCGGCGCCTGACACGAGTGCATCGGGTGGGTGCCGGGACGCCAGCAAGAAATGAGAAACATGGGCAAGAGACCGCCCGCTCTTGGGGCGAGGTCGGTGTCGCATGTGGTCTCGCGAACGGGCACGTAAGAAGGGGCCCCGCAGTCGGATAGGGAGGCAGTTGGGGTCGACGGAGCGAAACAGAATTAGGGTACAAGGAGCCGGAAGGTGGGAGCCCGGAAGCGGACTGGCAAGGAGCCGGGGTCGGAGAGGCAGCGGCGAACTGGTAGCTTGAGTCGGACTCGGGAGAATAGAGAGAGAGAGAGAGAGAGATAGAAAGAGAGAGAGAGAGAGAGAGCCTGAGGACTGGAGTTGTTGGAGGCCTTGAGATGGGCACCAACACCAATACAAGGGTTGCCTCCACAGCGGGGAGATGATCCTAGATTTCAGTGTTGGTGACGATATTGCGGTCACCTTGGAAGCCATATTACCGCCATCACCGAGATCGGGATCTTCTTCCTTCGGTGGAGGCACACCGCCGATATTGGTGTCTGTGTCAGCCTCTGGGTCTGCGAAGCTGGAGCCAGAGTCGCAAGCACGGAACGGGAGCACAGGACAGCGGTGGTTGGAAACACATGCCCTGGGTGTCTGGGAGACGACGGCCGGAGTCGGAAGAAGGGTGTAAAGCAACGAGCTGTCTATGCACCGACGTTTTTGTCCGGCCCTGCACTGACACTTGCGCAGGAAAACGGATCCTGGTGTATACAGGGCCCTGGTGTATGTTCTTTGTTGTTGTTTCCCCGGGAAACGGAAAACAGTGTACACCACACCACCCCGACGTCGTCCCCGAGCCTGAAAAAGTCCTGGGATTGAAAGACAACCCACCACTGGTAATGTATATGTTCCAATTTCCGAAGGTGGAGGTGGGAGTCGGAGAGGCAACGTCGCAAGCTGCAACGAAAAGTCAAAGAGGTTGGGCCGAGGGCTGGAGAAACAGGAAGCCATGTCGGAGGGCCGGGGGCCGGAGTCGGAAGAAGGGTGTAAAGCAACGAGCTGTCTATGCACCGACGCTTTTGTCCGGCCCTGCACTGACACTTGCGCAGGAAAACGGATCCTGGTGTATACGGGGCCCTGGTGTATGTTCTTTGTTGTTGTTTCCCCGGGAAACGGAAAACAATGTACACCACACCACCCCGACGTCGTCCCCGAGCCTGAAAAAGTCCTGGGATTGAAAGACAACCCGCCACTGGTAATGTATATGTTCCAATTTCCGAAGGTGGAGGTGGGAGTCGGAGAGGCAACGTCGCAAGCTGCAACGAAAAATCAAAGAGGTTGGGCCGAGGGCTGGAGAAACAGGAAGCCATGTCGGAGGGCCGGGGGCCGAAATCGGAAGAATCCAATGTTGATCCAAAACTGCAGGGAAACGACTTCTCCAAGACGGCCCCGCGGCCTCCGCACGGGAAAAGCCCCAACACCCCTCAGAATGCCCCAAGAAAGAGAGCAACCGAAACATTCCCATGATCGTCGCTCGATTCCGATGATCGTCGCTCGAAAATGTTGTGTGTTCCTTTCCTCAAACAGCTGGGACCCTTCA